AGGAAAAAATGAATGTGTATTTTTTGCATTCTCATAGAAGTGGGATGTGAGGAGAGCAGTTGTAATGGTTTCAATGTCTTGACTGACCCTGTGGTTACTGATGGTCAGTTCAGTTAATTAACCATAGAAAATGCCTAAGTTAATAAATAAGAAATATTTTCAATAGTAATCATGTCTCATTAAGGATTTAAGGAGTATACAACCAAAATAATTGTTGCATGTTTTTTAAGTTGCTATTGTGCTTTGTATCTGTATTTTTAGACAAAAAACCTGATCCAAATTACCTAGGGAAAAAGCCACATGCAAATAACAAATTGTCAACTTATATTTTAAAACTGGAAATTATGAGCTACAATAAAAATTTGCAAGACAGACATACAGATAAGGTTTATCTACCAGTCCACAGATAGTACCTCACATATCTCAATCTTTTATTAAGTTTTAAAATGTTGTGTCTTGGTGAATGCTAGAAAATAAGAATGATTTGTTTTTTAAATTTAAGTAACTTTTGCAAGATATTAATAAAACTAATTTGTTTCAATCTGCACCTGCAGGAACCTATTGAAACCAATGAAAATTGCAGGTGGTCAGAGTCCACCCTTCCAGAGAGAGCTGCTGTCACTGTAGGTGTCCTAATCTTGTAATCTTTCTTCCAAGACCCTGAGCAAGATACCACTAGAGCTAGAGAGTCACACACAATATTGGTTTATGGCAATAGGTTAAAATAAAGGCAAATGCCTGGGTACTTGAGCATATTCTGGCTTGATGCAATCTTGATGCAATTTAGCAGCTATTCCAGCTGAACTTAGACATTGATAACAGAGGTCCCCTGATTTGGAACAAACCAGGTATTTCCTTCTTGGTAATGCCTCTGACACCCTGAATTTGGGCAAGTTTTGATTTTTAGGGACCTTTGTAGTGGCATGCAAATGGCCATCAAATGCCACTGATTCTGCTGGGTGAGGTCTGGCACTAAAAGCTTCCTTAATTTCCATAGGCCCCTGCTGGACTCTTTCCTCACTGATCTGATTCCTAGCCAGAGCATAAACCAGAACATAAACCCATTGACTGCAAAGGAGGGCCACTGAAAAGGCCTGGCCTTGTTTATGCACATGTGTGTTTTACCTCTAATGGAAAAGAAACGTGGCAATTGTTCATGTTGGTAATTGTTGGTTTTGGTAATGGCTGTCCTTTTTCATCTACCCCCTTTGAAATATCAATTAGCTTTCTTGCTTCTTCTCTGATGAGCTAAACAGGGTGGCCTTCCTGGAGGAGGATTCAATCAACATGCAAATATCAAATTTTATGGAGAATAGATGACGCCTCTGTCTCAGCCTTTGTGAACTTAATTCATAAAGCGTCGTAAGCAAAATAATTGCTTCTTTTTTGAGTCTGTAATTGCCAAGTACACTATATTTGCTGTTCAGGAAGAAATTATCACTGTGCTATCAGATAAAAATCTGGAGCTAATGGGAAACACAAAATTTAATGTCAGGGAAATACAAAACAAGGTCATGTAATTTCTGCACATAATTATGATAGTGTAAGGCCTAATTCTGCAAGACCATGAAATTCATCCACTGAACAGAAGTCCTGATAAGACAGGTAATTCTAGGAGTGGATTCCTATTTAAATAACAATTGTGAATAACATTCTTAACTAGACTTAAGTTGGGATAAAAAGGCATTGTGGTAAACATTCAGATAAGGCACATTAGATTTGATCATAAGATGCATATGTAGATAATTCTTTAAAAGTTTCAGGGAGTCAGCTGACTTGTTTTTGTCACATATAGCTCTTTAAAGCAAAATAAAAGAGACTGATGATTAGGGAGATAGTATCTCAGTTGCTAATTTGTGGCAGAATTTGAGAGCAGATGTTCTTACCCCAGATCAGTGATGTAGTACAATCAGGCAGGTTTCTTTTGACTGTGGTATTTTTGTGGATAGACCAGATCAAGGAGATGGAGCTTCTCTTGAAAAGCAGATGAAACATGTAAAACCAAAAAATACCCCACCTTTTAAGCAAGGAAAATGTGACTAGAGCAACAATGTAAAGGAAGGGTGTTTAATGCTGAACTCTCATGTGCTGAACTTGCCAAAGCAAAATACCTGTAATGCTGTTACCAGCTTCAAAGCCTTGCGTTGGTAGCGTTGCCCCCCGAGTTAATGCAGTGCTCCTGCAATAGTTCAGGCAGCACAACACTGACAAAGCTGATTTTTAAAAAAAATATTAAATGAGGAGGAGAAAAAAAAAATACCTCTTAATGCAAAACAGGAATAAGTAATGGCATGAGATAAAATAAGAGGTAAGGACTAGACTTCTGTGCAGGTTCTGCCCGTCACGGGATGTCCTGGAGCAGTTCAGAAAGGACCATGCCCTTCCCTGGGGTCAGCACCCAGCAGGCAGCAGGAAGGGATAACTGGATAATTGCAAGTGCACGAGGAGTGTGAATGAGTGGGGACAGGTGGAATCACAGCTGTGGCAGGAGCACTGCTGGAAGCACTTCCCCTGCCCAGCTCTCCCAGCCCTGGCAGCTGCTAGCAAAGGGACCAGGCTGGCCACACTTCACGTGGCTTGGCCCTTGGGGATGACAAGGTGAAGTGCTTTGCAAGGGTGAGAAAAGGCCTCAGGTGTCTGTGTTCACATCAAAGGAGACAATCTGCCACAGCAGCTGGGAGCCAGTAACTGAGGCAACTTGGTGCCCAGCACTGAGCTCACGTGTCATAGTGCAGAAACATGCTCCGTCTTTCCATGTATGATGCCTTGATGTGTCATAGTTGCATTCCTTCTGACAGGAGGCAGAAGCACCTCTTTTACTCTGCTTTTGTTGCCACTTGACACAGTTCATGGAAGTGAACATGGTTGTGCCTTGGACTAGGTGAGGGAGTAAGCAAGCTCTGCCACAAATGCTGCCAACTGAGAAGTAAGATTATCCCTTGGAGAGAGATTTTCATTGCTATTAGATAAATCTAGTTAGGTTTCCTTGTGCTTACATTTATGAGCATGCTTGAATGAAGAAAAGACATACTCCTTTTTCAGGATTCTCCTGCTGCCTAGGCACTCTGTGTCTCTGCTGCTTTTCTCCCATGTGTTGGTAGCTGCTGGGAGCAGCCACAGCCTTTGCCAGCTGAAACTGCAGCTTCTCACACAACAGGACCCCAAGCCAGGGCATCTGGATGCTATCATAGGGTCAACAGCAGCCTATGGGTGGAGTCACACAACATAAAATTTGGGAAGAAGAGACGTTAATATGGGACATCTACTGTTGCACTCCTGAATTTCAGAAACTGATACCTTCTGCATACACATGCTGCCCTGTAACTGGGATTATTGACAGGATTGACAGTGCTCTCATAGTATCGGCGTGACATTGCAGTAATCTTCATCTCTTTCATTACCAGCTCCAGAAATAAAGGATATCTTATGTTGGCATCTGCATTATTTGCAAGATGTTCTCACTATTCATCACAATAATTTTGTTTCTTGTCTCTTTCCTCTTCTCCCCTTCTGTGTATAAATGCAGCATATTATCTAGGTTCCATGATATTTTTTCTCTTATTGTTTCTCAGAATTGTATTTCCACATAAGACTGACTATGCAGTCTGATATTGCTTCCTTTATGAGAGTATTAGATTTCTCAAGAGATGAAATATGGACACTATTAGATGGCATTGACTTTTTTAAAGCTGTAAGTAGTGGCTGATAAAATCAGTAACACAGATCATTTTAAGTGACCTTTCATCCTAATAATTCTTTGGCTTTGTCTGATACGGAAATTAATTTTACATAATGTGAGAAGATATATGTATGAGTCTTGAAAGAGCATATTTTCTTCTGAGTTACTGAAACTTGCAGCTGTATTTTCTCTTTGAAGTTTGTGTCATTCTCTGTGGTAAATGACTGAAGATGCTCTCTGTCTGTGTTAAAATTTTGTGCAGTGGAAGATGTGGCTAATGTGAGATGGAGGTATTGTGGTCACACTGTGAGAGTTTTATCACTCCATGAGGGTCTGCAGGAGGCCATCTATGGCTGACCCTGCTTGCCTGTTTGAAGGTGGGTGTTTGCAAGGGTTCATTTTCAGAGACAGCAACACCTCAACCACAGTGATGTCAGTAAGGCTGGTGTTGTGAAGGCGGAGTGGCAAAGGGGACTCTGCAGTGCTGGAGTCCTCTCCAGGGCTGTGACAGCAGCTGGAGAAAGCGAGTGTGGCTGAGGATGAGGGTGGTGGGATGAAGCTGCCTGCCCAGGGATTGCGTTGTGCAAAGAGCAGCTTGTGATCTTCAAGGAGAAAGGTTTGCATAAGGAGCTGAAAAAAGGTCCAGCAGATCCATAACCTGGAGTTATTGGGTTTTCTCCATTTACCGTGGATGGATGGGTAGAATAGATCCCCAAATCCAGAAAAGCCAATGCCCCAGCCTCCCCTGGAAAGGAGCTGCAGGTACTCACTAAGTGGAAGACTCCAGCTCCCATCCTTGTCCAGAGACCATTGTCTCTGTCTGCACCTGTGAAAGAAGACTGCGTTGGGAAAAGCATCCTGTGGCACTGGGACTGGGGTGGGAATGGAGTCAGAGAGTGCAGCTCCTGCTGCTGCTGGAGAGGGACTAATGGCACCTCCTTTATCTGCACCATGGATATGGAAAGAGTGAGCTGGGGGAAAGCTGTGCTTGTGACAGAGAAGTGATATTGTTGATTCATATTGTTGTAGCATTCAGAGGGCAACTTTTGGGTGTCTGCTGTGTTGAATGCTGGGTGAACATGTAATTGCCATCAACAAATGAGAGCAAATGTCAGTTTTACTTTGAGGTGAGAACCCCCTTTAATTGAGGGTAAACTATAGCCATGAAAGGCTCAAATTACTTGAAAATTTTATGTTCTGCAGTATGGTGCAGTAATACAGAAAAACATCTTTTGTGGATGTAACACATGGAGCTGTAACACATGACCATTGAAGGGCTTCCATCAGCTTCTGACTCAATCTTTCATTTTTTGTCTTTCAGAACCTGTAACTGGGCATTTTAAAGGGGCTAAACATGACTGCTGGCACCAAAATTTGACTTTATTTAACGGCATTTGAGGTAAACCTTGTTTAGTATCTAATCTTTTATTTTACTAAATAGGAAGATTATTAGTAGTAACTTGTATTTCATTACCTTTTCTCTGTGCTTCCAGACTCTTGGAGGAGAAGAACATTTAAATTCTCACAGCTGTGTGAATTTAGAATTACTAAACAATTTCCATTCTCAACTCCTGTTTTCAGTTGATTCTCCCTTGTCAAATAAGATTGAATCCAAATTAATTACATGTTATACTACCTATCCCAGGGGTTGGTGACTTTGCAAGCTTCAGCAAATTTGATCCATCAAATTTGGAAAAAGCCTGACACAAACCAGTTTAATTTCCTTAAGCCAGAATTCTTGGAGCTCTTTAGCCTGAACTGCAGTGCCTCATTTTGGAGCAGGAAATGAAGCTCAGTAGGAGGGTTTGATTTACAACTGGATCAGTTTTCAGTTTTCCCTCTCCTCAAATCTGGCCAAGACATAAACCTCTGAAAAACAACTTCACTATTTCACTTGCACTTTAGCTATATGGTGCTGAGGGTAAGTTCTCAGATGATTTCATCTCTGGACTTAAGGCTCCAGCCCAACATCATCTCAGGAACTCTTCCTCTGTAATTGGGCATTGGAGCCAAGGATGAAGGAATGCCACCCTTGCAGTTCAAGCATATGGATGCATAAGGCAAAGCTGTGAAAAGCAGGTGGAGACAGACTAGTGAGTGGAGAACAGATGTAGGGATAGACAGGGTAATCTGGATGGTAGGAATAGGAGCAGGGCAAAAAAGCTGAGTAAGGAGCTGGGATATGAAGCTAGAGAAGACAGTGGGGAGGCAGGTGGGTTGTAATCAATGGAACATATGTCCTTCTAAGATCAAATTCAGGATGGGTGAGTTTCTTCAGAATCTTCCCCAGCAAATGGACTGAAAATAATATCAACATTTTTAAATTCACATAAAATGTGAATGTCCTCCTACATAGAAGGCAAGGGTTTGCTGTCAGCTCCATGAGCTGAGTTTGAAGGGATTCACAGATTGAAGCAGTCCAATTTGGTAAGGACTGCTTTGGGGTGGAGCATAGAGGTGATTTCAGTGCCTCATACGCACAAGAGATTATAGTGCTAGTGCATCAGAGTGAGCCAGAAAAGCACTGAGACATTTCAGTACAAGGTCTCCTCAGTCACTGTGTGGGACAAGTCACCACAGAGGAACACTGCTGCCATATTAAGCATATTAGTCTCTAGTGATAGCATTTGAACAATACCATCAGAATGCTGGCAGACATGTTTCAGAACACTCTAATATCTTGTATAATATCAGCTAAGGAATGAATTGCTTTTCCAAGCTTCATCAAGAGAACTGGGTCAGATTGGCAGAGCACATACTGCAGGGTACGTGACACTTCTAAGGAGAGAAGTACAGGATACAGGATATACTGAATTTAATACCTTTTGTATTAACCCTGACAGCAGAAAACAGCTCTGTGTGCTTCTGTGCTAGACCTGAAGTGATCCATTCCCCATACATGCTGAACCCTAGCACTTATTGCCATCTGGGTTAAGGGTCTGCTTTTTTCCTCGAGGAAAGGACTGTGAAGGGTTGACAGCATTTGAGCAGGGTTGATGCAGAGACATAATTAAAGGAGAAGGCAGGTATTAAAATTAGTGGGTAGCCACAGGGCATTGATCACAGGAAAGTGACAGTCCTGCAGCTGGAGCACAGACAGCATGATACCTTGGCTGGGAGAAGAAGTGAAAAGCTGGCAAAGTGAGGGATGTAGCTGAGACATGAAGGAAGAAGGATTGGGATGGGGGGTGTGTGTGGAGTGTTTTGTGCTTCCATTTAGTGCCAGGGAGATGTGAGCAGCAGTATTTCAGTTGTAAGTGACTGATGCAGGCTTGGTTTGAAGAAGTACCCTTGAATCTCTGCAAAGTATTTTTTGGAGGTAACATTTGCAAGAGCAATACATTTTCAATACAAGATCAGTGCTCTCAAATCCAACTGAGGAGGCTTTTGTAGAAGATGATTCACCTTGCAGGGAGATCAGGTGCACCTTTGTTGGGGAAGTAGGGCCAGGAGACTATTGAGCAGTGTCAGCAGACCCCCAGAGCAGCAGCTGAGGGACTGTTGGCTCTCAGACCTCTCTTGAGTGCAGTTATGACATTCCTCCAGGGAAGGAACCTCTCCTGTGCTGCAAATTACATCCTGACTTTGACCACCTTGATGGGGTGTAATACAAACCATCCTATGGGTCACTGAATGATCGTTTGTAGACTGTTAAAAATATGAATTTGGAAGAGCAAGCTCAGTTAATTGAATTTACTCATTTGGAAATTTTTCCTCAAGCCTTGTTTGAGATCTGCATGCATTTAGTATATGCATGTCTTGTAAGTGCCAGAAGAAAATGAATATGCAGGTCATGAAACAGACCTTTGGATGGCCTCTCATTTAGGGAAGTGAAGGGATATTTCAAGCAAGGCTGAAAAGTTTCCCTCCAGGGCAATGCTTTTCTGGTAGAGATGGCTTAAACTGTCCTTTTTGATCACCATATCAATACAAAGAAGTGTGTTGGGGTCTTACTTTTAAAACCCTCAAATACTAGATTTACCAAAAACACATAATGTAACAATTTAATGTTAATGATATATTAATGTAAATTTCATATTTAGTGCTGCCTCACCTGTACTTGGACTGAGACTAAAACAAAGCAGTTCCTTGGCCCTGTCCCCTTCAGTCTCAGCCCCCAGCTGAGACCAAGCTCAGGGTTTCATTCCTGCAGAGTGAAAGGAGAAGTTGGCCTAATGTGGACCTGGGCAGTGTCTTGATCCCTCTAAATCCAGCAGAGCCTTACAGATATTGTGCATAGCACTGTGGGCTTTTTCTTGCCTTGCAAAGGTCTGCATTAGAGAAACGTGCCTCGGGACACATTTTCAGGGAAGAAGTAATGTGCTCAATATACCCAGAGAACTTAGAATTCATCCCTAAGTAACACTTTCCTGAAGACAGTTTCCATGGGACATTTTCTTTGAGTACTAATGATCTACCTTGGAAATATGATTCTACAACTTTACTCATGTTCTTCATATAAATAAAAGAACACAAATTATGAACTTTGGAGTCTGAGTCAGGGCAGATAGGTAACACTTGAGAGGGTTTGCCAACTGTTTCTCTTGCTGGCTGCATCGTATTTCTATAAATGCTGGTTTCAGTGTTGATACCATCAACATAGGCCTAATGAAGCAACATTGTGTTGAGAGAAGGAAAAAAAGAGAGAAGGAAAAAAAGCTTCCGTTTGGAGATGAAATTCACTTTTCTTTCTTCTTCTAATCTCATTGGTTTTGTATTACTCATTTAATTCTGTGGTCACTTTTCAAGATCTCCTGCAGGGGATTTTGCCTCCTCTTCTCTGGTAAGGTTATGCAGGAATTTTCCACCTGTGTTCAAGTACTGAGCAAATATGAAATTTAGAAATGAAATATCTGTCTTTTTAAAAGGTGAGAGAGACATCTTTGCACAGAGTTGCAGGAAATGATAGATGAAGTTTGGAAGGTTGTTATAAACATGAGTGGTGCTGCTGCCTGATCTATTTGTTATGTACTTAATTTGTGGCTTAGTTTTAAATGAAGCTAAATGCCAGGTGTCAATCTAGCTCAGAAATGGTAGAAAACCTGGGATTCTGGCTGCAGAACTCATGTTGCTCAAGGCAACCTGCATTAATAGTCTAAGGTAGCCCATCCTGCTTTTCCTACAGCACACAGTCAGCCATTTGGGTGATGTATATGCTACTGTCTACTGTAAGTGTTGGTGATACTTTCCATGTAGAAAATGCCATCAGTGTGACAGATATTCACTGCCAACACATCAAAATGGAAAGCCTGCTGCAATTCAAATAGAAATATCCTGGGAGGTTCTCAGCTATGTTGAATTAAGGCTGGAATAATAGATCAAATGTTTTTTTTCTAAGCTTAGTTAACCATGAGAACAGGACACAGCTGTGAGTCCCTTTAAGGCAGTACACTTGTCTGCCAAGTTAGAAGGCAATTATTCCTCATAAATCTGTCTTTTTAAATCCAAGCAGATCGATTGTCTCGTCCATCCTTTGCCTATGCAAGCACCCAGACAGGCTCTTTTAGCACCACCTACAACTAAGCACCCCTCTTTTCAGGAGAGCCACACCATGGAGGTGATGGAAGTCCTGGCAGCCCTACATATTCCTTTATAATGAAGGATGTAAAGGTATGTTCATTTTGCTCACATTTTTAGTGCTTTAAACAAGAAGTCTCTGTTCTGGTTTTAAGCATCATCTTGGCTTTAAATATCTGACCTCTATACAAAGAAATAAAATCCTTCTAAAATTTTGTTGCCTAGCTAATAGGCAGAAAAGTGTTGCAAGAAGACTGGGTAGTTTCCTTAGGTCCATGTCATGGTTGCATCATTGTAGAGCTTCCAGAGCTGCACTAAAATTGGCTTGGTTACAAGACAATCATCTCCTAATAGCCCTATTTTGCCAAATCACCCAGGCTCTGAAAGTCAAAATGGCTTCTGCCCTTCCTGGTGACCTGTAATCATGGGTAGACATCCAGCAGATTCAGTGAAAGAAAAAACATTTTGGTGCAGTTTTAAGCAAAGCCTACATAAAAATACGTGCTCATTTTGATCTGAGTAACACACTGGTGATTTTCACTTTTTTTTTCTTCTTTCAGTTAGGGAGAATGCTTTTCAGTATTTGCAAAGTGCATTTTTAGATTGTTCTGACTACAGCTATTACTGCTATGGTGTGTCTTCTCTGGCTGACATTTGGCCCTAAAACCCCAACAAATGCTATAACAAAGTGAGAAGAGTTGGCATAAATTGTTCTCTCCCATGCTGCAGTGGCATAGCAATGAAAGAAAGGAAGTTCATTTTATTTTTCTTTGAATTATAATTTAAAGAACATATTGATATATGTATCTTTTCTGTTATCATGAAAAAAAGCAAGGAAATGAGGTATTTGTCCTTATTAACAAGCCTCCAGACAGAATCCAGCAGAAGTGAGACAAGGAGAGATGAGGGGTGGGATGTGGTGTGGAACAGATTCAGCAGCAAGCCCTGGGCCAGTTGCTTGGTGGCACTGGGTATGACTGGGGCAGCCTGGAGACACGCCCTAATCAGAAAATACAATGGGAAAGTAAATGTAAATATAATTGGAATGT